GTAGTTATTTGCTCAAATATCTAAACTATGTGGAACGCTGTTAATAAACGCCATGGATATAGGTTAAACAAACTGAATACTGCAATCGATTTCCAAAATATATAGACATGGGCTTTTTATTTCTTCTGCTTGAAGAATATTACAAACGATGTCAACAATGACAAAGTAGACACAATTTATCCGTCAACTTCTAAGTAATGCCTGTCAAACAATTGATGTCAACAATGATCATGACATCTTGACAGCATGTTCAATGTTGACGCATCTTTTTAAAGAATACTGCTTTAAATGCCGAAGAAAAGGATGTGTTTGTAAGATATGTCGCGCCGAATCATGGCTTCAAGTCATTTGGCACTATATAATTCTCTCAAAAAGTGTTCCTAATTTTTTTTAAAGCTGTTCCATTTAGTGCAATTACACCTTAAACATTTTAAGAATGACATAATAATTATGATTATTATTACCCTCGTGTGTTTTCGTATCGTCAATATTAATGGTTAGGAATATAAAATAGACTGGCATAATACAATTGTTTCTATTTACAAATGACAAATGAAACAAGTGGAATAACAGATTGATCGGATAGGACAGCGAAAAGAATGTAACCCGTCTCAGACGGAAAAGACGAGGGCTTCTATTGCGGCGGGTGACTGATTCGTGGAGTTTTCAGCGGGCAACGAAAAATGCCATATGTTAGTACCAAGCTTGAATGATTGTCTGTTTGTTGTTCAACGGAACTCAGCAATATTCCCGCTATATGACGGCGGTATGTAAATAATCGAATCTGAACCATACAATCCGGTGATTGACATCATGAGCATCAAACAACGTAACTAAGATACGATGACTTGCAATCAACCAAGTCACAGAGCCTGACCAACCGATCCACTTAGTCGCCTCTTACGACAAGCGTAGGGTGCTGGGCGCTTGTGTTCTTACCCGACATCCCTACGGGTCTGAGTGGGAATGAGCTGACACGCGGTATGACGTGCTGTTTGATGGGGGCATAACAATAACTGTTGATCTTTATGTTTACGGTTAGAATCGGGATACAACGCGACCATAGAACCGTTTGAATGAACGAGCGTGGGACGTTTTTTTCTTCCAGGTTTTCAGAATACAATAAGTCTATCAGACTTAAAAAAACAAGATGCTGAAGAAAAAGTCATTTCAAGTGCACCCCCGAAGCACCGTAAAACCAAGGGCTATCCACACAACGTTAATCAAAACTCATGTACAGGGCACTTTACCAAACTATATCTAAAAATAACCGTTATTCATCAGTTTATTGATAATACACGCCAGTAGCTAAATTATTCACCCATAAAGTAAGAAAGTTGCAATTTCACAGCAGGCTTTGAACGGAGCAATTACCACAAGCCAGGATTTGATTTAGATAGAGACTCCTTACATCGACATGGGAATCTAACTCTTTCCTTCTTTCCTATTATACAATATCGCAGACACTGTAACGAGTACTGTCGGTAATGTAGGCTCCTTTTAGCGACATAGGAATCCTATTATGCATCTCTGTACTGCAATAAAAGGTCACAGACAGTGTTACGAGTTTATCCATTGATTATTTTTCCTTAATGACGCAACAGCCTACTCGTTTGAACCCCATGGAGTGACTTAGTCATTCAGATGCGTAGGGGGCAATTTATCACTCAAACTCCGATATTATCATTTTGTCGGAAATTCCTGTATTTGTTATTGATTAATGGCCGTTTTGCGGTCTTTCAGCGTAGAATTGCACTCGGGAGATACCAAGTGAAGTGGTAGTTCGGTGCTTATATTTACGGAGGATTTTGTGTTATCGTTTAGTATTCATTGCAGACATTTATATGTCGTATCGTTTGCCTTTGAATTTTATTTTCTTCTGTTTTGATTTTACAGAAATTTCATATTACGTTTTTTGTTTGTTGTTGACCGCTACTCGTCATTATTCCTTCTATATGACGCCGGTCTGAATATAATCGAGTCTGGACCATACAATCCAGTGGTTGACATCATGAGCATCGATCTAAGCAATTGGGATACGATGACAACCGGGTAGAATCCATCTTCAGCAACTCATGCTTGCTGTGAAATGCGACTATGCTTGTCTTAAGAAGCGACTGACGGGACCGGTTGGTCAGGCTCCCTGACTTAGATGATGCATGTCATCATATCCCAATTGCGTGGATCGCTGTTCATGTTGTCAATCACTGTATTGTCTGGTCCAGACTCGATTATTGACAGACCATCGACAAATAGTTGGAATATTGCTGAGTGCGGCGTTAAATAACAAACAAAACAAAAATACTTTAATTTGTTTTGACTGAATTGGTTTTCTCGTTGGTTTTCTTTCAAAGAAATTCACGAGCATTGATGAAGGGATACCTAAGTAATCTAACGCGCCGCGATTCACTATCCAGACTTGGTCACTTACTTATGTAGCAGCCACTGATCGTCGGTTTGAATCCCTGATCCTGATCCAGTTTGGACAGTAACATACGCGTGCTCATGGGTTTCACCTGAGTGATAACTTCTACCGCCTGCGCCACTTTGGGATTTGCTACACCCCCCCCACCCCCCCATACACACACACAGTGGCGTTAAACCACACTCACACTCTCACACACGCATCAATTATTATTGTTTTTGTCGACATTACGCCCGTCGGTGGTGAATTTGTTACTCGAAGTCAGTTAAGCCGATCACACGAAGAGCTGGGTTAATATTACATGTATTTCAGACTGACTGTCACCGGTATGCGGGCAGAGTACAGGTGATGCCACACACTCTGGTGATAGCGTCAAAGATAATAGTCAGTCTCAGCCGATAACGGCACCAGCCACGTGTGTTTCAGACACACTGACATACGGTGTGTCACGTGACACAACATGCACCCAACACGGCCTTCCCCTTGGCAGGATTTCACAGGATCTCACAAAACCCACGAAACGCGTGCTTATTGCTTTTTAGTCAGCAAATATGAGAAGGAATTACTTTGCATGTGCTGATATTGACAACGGGTAATATATTACCAACAATATTAGGAACTATTTTGTTCAGTTAATGAAATATTTATTTCAATTGTTTCGATTAATTAGGCAATGTTTTAATAGTCTGACTTTATCATTTGTATCATTGTCCGATACTTTAAAAGTTTAATAAAGACGAAGTATTTAATTTAAAAAAAGAAGTGAATGAGTGAGTTGGGGTAAAGGCCGCGTTGAACAGTATTGCAGTTATATCACACTGTATGTCAGCTTGATGTGGGAGGAAAGTGATGCAGGTCTCAGACGTTTGCCACTTTGTGAAACCCACGAGCTCGAGTATGGTGGTGACAAACATAGAGACATAATCAGGGCGAACCGGGATTCGAACCAACAGTTACAGGTTTCTGGCGTGTCCAAGGGGCGCAACTCTACACAGCTAATTCTGGCGCCTTGGACGACTGGGCCACCCGTGCCCCCTTTAAACAGAAGCATTGTGATGAAGAATATAGACTATATTTGTGACACATGGCAGTTATACGAACATTGGTTCCATCTTAACAAAGGTAAGTGAGTCCTATTATTTTCAAATTAGATATAGGTACCTCAATACATTATCATTGTCGTCACCCGTGAAGATCCGGGTTAGAACAGGTCTTCAGCTACCCATGCTTGCCATAAAAGGCGACTTTGCTTGTCGGGATCGGGTGGTCAGGCTCGCTGACTTGGTTGATGGATGTCATCCTTTAAACATTGCGTAGATTGATGCTCATGATGTCAATCACTGGATTGTCTGGTCCAGACTCGATTATTTACAGACCCCCGTCATATAGCTGGAATAGCTGCTGCGTTAAACAACAAACAATTATTTTTTTATTATTACGCGTATATTGCGTATGGTAAAATTGCCAGACATGCGAACTTACTTTGTGCAAATTGTGTTAATGGTGGGTACTACCGGTAGTAGGGCAGGTCCTGCTTATAAAGGGCCCCCCACACTGACGCAGCGCGCGAGCGGCGCGCCCGCGTCAAAAAATCACAACAGTGCTATTTCAATGAACTGCCCATGCTCACGCGGCGTGATTTTCGAATCGCTCAAAAAGCGATTTTTAACGCGTGACGCCCCGACGCATTGGGGGATCCCCTAGTTGTGATGTCACTTCCTTTCACAAAACACAACACGTGGTTGAGGACAGTTTTATTAATTGCTAACAAAATAGACAGAAAATGCCAAACAAAAACATTGACGAGGAGAAATTAATAATTGAAATTAAGAAATACCCTTTTCTGTATAATGTGGATTTACCCCACTACAAAGACAATGAAATGGCATTAAATGCCTGGAAATCAATCAGTTCGACATTTGAGGGTTCAAGTGGTAAGTATTCGTATCATTATTATCAAAATACATTTAACGAAGAAATACTGGATACAATTTCTCTATACACCTGGTTAACGTTCATTCAGCTGACCCCTTTCTGACGGCAGCATATTGCCATGGAACCTCCCCAGCTGGAGAGTTGAAATACTGGCAGAACTTGTCACGAATCTGGACAGCAGAAGAGGCTGCATGGGTACCGATCCCACCGATGTCTGCTAGTCCTTGTCTGTTTGCTTCTGCAACGGGTGCACATTCCCGTGTTTGTGCTGAAGGAAGTTATGAAGGACACACGTAGCCAATATGACCCTCCTTACACTCTCTACCTTGAGGTTGTTTCTCCTCTGGTAGATTCTCCATCTACTGGCAAGGATGCCAAAGGCATTTTCAACGACTCTGCGACTGCGTGATAATCGATAGTTAAAGATGCGCTTAGATTCCGACAAATGCCTTCCTGGATATGGCCTCTTAATGTTCTTGGACAGATATATTCAAGAAGCCGAGTGAGTAAATTATACCTCTACATATCAATCTCATTCACAATATCAATCATCATTTCATCAAACAAAATAACATTCACAATTCATACAGTTACTTGTTCGTAAGATATTAGGATAACATGATGATTGTGTTAATTCCAGCACACAGAGTAACCTGACTTTGTCCGACCAAGAGGAAGAGGAACTTATGTCATCTACCTCCCGATCACGAGATACAAGTCAGGAAATGTCTGAATCGGAAAACGATAGAGATGTCACCCCTATTGCACAACCAACATCCGCTGTACGTATTCCAAAGAAGCCTATCAAACGCATGCGCAAACAGGAAGAAATTGATCCTGTCGGAGTTGCAATGTTTGACTATCTAAAACGAGACGAAGCCATGGCTGCTAAATCAAGCCCAGAAAATGCGAATGATGAAGATGAGTTATTTCTTCGATCACCAGTCCAAGCACTAAAGCGCCTACCAACTAGTACCAACGATTCTAGTCATGGTTAATGATCTGGAGCAAATAAAAAACTGTTAAATAAAATTGGATCTGTGATATATTGATATCCTTCACGAATGGTCAAAGGCATAAACCATAATTTTTCCTTTAACGCGCTGCTTCAGTATGGGCGGTAAAGCAGCGCGTTATTGTGGAGAAAAAACGCGTTGTCGCGCTGCGCCGCTCGCGCGCTGCGTCAGTGTGGGGGAGCCTTACCCCTTTCTCTAACACCTTCAGTGATGACTGGTTTTCAGTGATCTTCCGTGTAATGTTCACCGCTGTTTTAGCCTTGAACGCCCAATGGAATCTGTCTCGGCAGATATTCCAAACTGGTTATTCGCTGTTGTTAGCGTTTTATATTTACAGGTATTAAAACCTTGTCGTTTAAGTTGTTTTCTAAAAAACATACCAATGGTGCTATAATATACATTGGATGAAGTTTATAAGACACTTTGTCTGATTAATAATTTACGTATTACACTTAAAATAAGAGAAAAAGACTTGCGTGCTAATGTGTTTGTCGCCTTGCACCAAGTCCCAGACAGGCTGATAGAGATGACTCTGACTGACTGACTGATATAGAAGATTTAACGTGCGCTTTCCGACTGTAGCGTATTTCGCACACGGGCCTGGCCAGACCATTTAGTGTATTCCGAAAAGGGTGAAAGTGGTGTGTGCAACCCAAGAGGGGGCTTTTAGGGGTTGCTTAATTATATTGAATTTTTGGAATTTTTAAATTTGGATTAATGCCGAGGACGGTGGAGGAGGGAACTAAGGGAACCGGGTGAGGTGGGTGTTTGTATGTTTTTTGGATTTTGGATTGGTAGATTAATTAGGTTTTAGATTATTATCATCTTTATTCCTCCATAGGAGAGTTACATGCAATTCATTACGGTTATACAGATATTAACAAGAGAAATAACAAGATTAGGTTAAGGGTCAGGATATAGTGTCAAACACAGTTGGTGTATGTTCTGGATCACAGTTCTTGCAAACAGCTCATTGTCTTCTTCACTCGCTTGTACAGGAGGTGTGCATGACAACAGACTGCACACTAGGTCAACGTCACACATGGAGTGTAAGGTAACACTCAATTCAACTGGACAACAGTTGACAATTTCACACCACATACGATCCCTGATGAATTCTGATGCTCTGCAGTGGCATATCATATGGACCAGAAGATCATTATAACCTTTGTCACAACGTTCGCAGTGACCATGTACTTTGCCTGGCCGCCAGAGTGCGCACATGTCCACAACAAATTTGCAGGAGTCTTTTAGTAAGGGCCAATGCTTAGCAACTTTCCATGCTCTGTGAGGTTTGATTTTGTTGTGTATTTTTGAAAAATGGTGTAGGTCCGGGTCTGTTTGTAGACGCTGTTGCCACTCCGAGTCATGATGTTCTTCGATTTGCTTCTTGACCTTTTTTAATTCCAGAGTGATGGTTTGCAAAACTGCCCTGTGTCCATGAATGCTGTTAGATGCTCAAACATGTTGTACTTCTGTAGAATCTGAACAATGTTTGATACAAAGCCACGAGACCTTTTGGAACATCCATTTCTTAGCAGGAATAAGCGTGTGGTGAACAATGTTCTGCTGAGGTAGTGTGTTGGGTTATTACACAGTTGTCCCAGAAACAGCAACTTTTTAGCATCGATGTAAGATTCAATTGGATAGAATCCTATCAGAGCGTTACAGATATCTGTTCGCGTTGTTTTAGGTAGGCCTTGAACAAGTTTTACAGAGAATCTCTGAGCACGTTCTAGAGCAATTAATTCCGTTTTCTTTAAATCTGACCAGAGCTCGCATCCAAACATAGATTTGGGTAAGGACACCATTTTTAACAATTTCGAACTTGTCAGCGGATTGAGGCCTTTACAGTCACAACCTAGTCGCCGAAGGGCCATGGTGCTTGCTTTCAATTTGGAACAGGCATTTATGGTTCTGTCCCAAGAATTCATATTGTGATCCAGTTCTATTCCAACATGTTTGGCACAAGGTACCTCGGGTATATCTTTGCCGTATAGTGAAAGATGACAAGGGCTCATTGATTTAGAACTTGAGAATGTCATTACACTACTTTTGGCTGCTGAGAATGAAAATCGCCATTCTGCACTATATGTTTCACATATCTGGATCATTTCTTGTAGGTATGATGTGATGGGACTAATGAGAGTACTATCGTCAGCCTGAGTTGGTGAGGTAACATGCAAATCCATGACCATAGCTCCTTTGTGAGATGATGACAGTTCACTAAGGAGAGCGTTGATATAGACCAAATACAGTTTGGCAGACAAAACACTGCCTTGTCTGACACCTCTGTCCAATTTGAACCAGTAAGATTTGGTATTGTTTACGGAGACACAACTCGTCATTCCACTGTACATGTTGTTAAACAGTTTCCATAATGCTTGGTTTATGCCAAGATGATGTAGTTTCCAGAGAAGTCCAGAGTGCCACACCGTGTCAAAGGCCTTAGCACTGTCTAAAAAGACCACTTTGACATTATCTTCTCTTTCTAGATAAGGGTGTACAGTTTCCTGGATTAGAAAAGAAGCGTGGGAGGATGAAAGGCCCTTTTGAAATACGCACTGCTGTGAGTCTGGAAATGACTTGGAGTTATAAATATCAGGTAGTCTTTTGCTAACTACAGTTTCAAATAACTTAAAGATAACAGGCAATAGAGTAACTCCTCGATAGGAGTCTGGTGACGTTTTTGGTTTTCCGGCACCTTTATAAATTGGAATAACAGTCCCACTTTTCCATGACTTTGGCATGTAACCAGATATTATGATTCTGTTAAACAGAATCGATAGGTAAAAGTATAACTGGTTTCCACCGTGCTTTAAATGTTCATATTGAAGCGCGTCAAGACCAGCAGCTTTATTTGTCTTTAATGACTGACATAGTATTCGGATTTCATTCGTGGAGGTCAAAAGTTTGGATACGTCTGGGTATTCTCTATCTGCTTCCTGTTTTAAGAACTGAACATCCTCTTCAATTGTGTGTGTTCTTTGGTTTCGGGTTGTTTGCAGTGGGGGCAGTTGCCTGTGGTGTGTCTTTTAAGATTTTTTAGGTGGTTATTTAGGTTAGTGTGTCCTGTTTGGAGTTTTGTAATTAATCTGTAAATTTTTTTTTAGGGGTGTAGGATTTTAGGTTTGGCTAGTGGTTTTCTGAGCACTTTTTTGATTTGGCTATTTGAGTTTTGATATTGATTATGCCATTTTTGGGTTATTTTTTGTTTGTTTACACTTTTAATTTCTGATTTTGAGATGGGTAGGTTTAGGCTTATTTCTGGTATTTTGAGAGATAATTTAGCTGCTTTATCGGCGCTTTCGTTGCCGTAAATTCCTACGTGGGCGGGGATCAACAAGAAGGTTATTTGTTTGCCTGCTTTTGTTAGGTCGTTTGAGCTTTTAAGTATTTGGTTTATTAATTTAGGTCGTTTTTTGGTATTTTTGTTTTGGAGGGCTTGTAGTCCACTAAGGGAGTCGGTGAGAATTAGGATTTTATTGTTGTTTTTAGATTGTTGGTTATGCAGGGCTGAGGCCATGCCCATAAGTTCGGCCGTGAATATAGATTGGTTGTTAGGGAGTCGGTAAGATTGTGTGGATATAACTGGTTGTGTGGTATGGACTCCGAAGCCTGTGTGGTTGGAGATCGGGTCTGAAGATCCGTCAGTGTATATGTGACACCAATTTGGCCAATTTTCGTGTATGTATGCGAGTGTGGTGGTTTTAGCTATGTTTGGGTCGGTTTGTTTATTTATTTGGTTTGCTAGCGTTGTGTCTATTTTGGGTATTTTGAGTTAAGGGGTGAAGATATTTGATTTTTTGCAGTTTTGTTTAAGATTTTGAGTTTGGTGTTCATTGAGGTAGTTAGTTATTCTTTGGGATATTGGGGTGAGTAAGGGGTGTTTGCGAGCTAGAGCTTGGTTTCTTGGGCTAATGTTTTGGTTAATTAAGTTTTGGATGAGAGGGTTTGTTTGGGACGCGGCCCAGAAATTAAGGATTAGATGTTCCCTGCGTAGATTTAGTGGCATTTCCCCTGTAAGTGCCTGAAGTGAGGTGTAGGAGGTGCCATGTTGGGTGCGTGTAATTAGTTTAAGGGCTTGGTATTGTATTGAGTCAAGTTTTTTAGATAGAAAGTTGTTTAGGGTATTGTATATGGCGCAGCCGTAGTCTAGTTTTGATCTAATTAGTGCTGTATAGAGTGAGAGGAGGGTATCTTTGGAGGCTCCCCAGTTAGAGCCGGTGAGACATCTTAGTGTGTTAAGGTCTTTGCTGCATCTAGTTTTTAGGTTTTGGACGTGAGCCTCCCAGGTGAGGTGTTGATCGAAAATGAGTCCTAAGAATTTGTTTTTTTTTAGGAATTTGATTGTTTGGTTGTTTAGCTGGAGGATTGGGAAGGCAGGTTTCATGTTTTTATGTTTGAATACTACTCCTGTTGTTTTATCTGAGTTAAGGGAGAAGCCCCATTTGTCTGCTCATTGTTGTATTTCATTTAGAGATTTTTGGATTAAGTTTTCTACCATTTTAATGCTTTTAGTGCAGATCCATAGGGCTCCGTCATCCGCGAATTTTGAAGTGTTTAGTTTAGGGGATAAGCCCTCGAATAGATCGTATGAGATGACTCATATGGCAGACCTACATGTACTCTGACGGTGTCACACGCTTCTACAACCTATGCTGGGTAATTGCCTATGGGGGTGGGGGGGGGGGGGGGGGTGGGGGGGGGGGGGGGGTGGGGGGGTGTAATTCATATGTACATATACGACTTTTGTCATGTAACATGTGCGCCGGTGTCGCGTGGTTTCCACAAACACTGTCCTTAACAGAGGTGTGTCCGCGTGTACCGACACTGTTGATGTTATGTAACACATGCCATAACGTCAATACAATTTTGAAAGTATTGCACGTCGTATATTGTTGCGGTGTCTTCAATATGGTGACACGAATTGGGCCTAACTGCATTTGGTTGTTTTGCACAATATGTATTAAAATAGAATG